CAACATCATACTCAATGGGCAAAAACTAAAACCATTTCCCCTAAGAACAGGAGCAAGACAGGGATGTCCACTTTCACCACTCTTATTCATCATAGTACTGGAAGTCTTAGCCACAGCAATCAGACAGGAAGAAAACATAAAAGGCATCCAAATTGGAAAAAAGGAAACAAAACTGTCATTATTTGCAGATGACATGATATTGTACATAGAGAACCTAAAGACTCCACCAAAAAACTACTAGATTTAATACATGAATTCAGCAAGGTAGCTGGATCCAAATTAACACCTAGAAATCGATGGCATTTTTAAACACCAATAATGAACTGTCAGAAGGAGAAACTAAAAAAAAAACCACTTACCATTAGAACTAAAAAAATAAGATACTTAAGAATAAACATAACCAAAGATGTAAAAGACTTTTACTTGGAAAACTACAGGACCCTGAAAAAAGAAATAGAGGAAGATATAAACAAATGGAAAAATATACCATGTTCATGCATTGGAAGAATTAACATCATTAAAATGTCAATACTACCCAAAGCAATCTATAAAAGCAATGCATTCCCTATTAAAATATCAATAGCGTATTTCACAGATCTGGAGCAAACACTTCAAAAATTTATAAGGGAACAGAAAACACCCTGAATAGCCACGGCCATCTTGAGAAAGAAGAACAAAGTTGGAGGGATCACAATACCCAATATCAAGTTATACTACAAAACCTCTGTAATCAAAACAGCATTGTTTTGGCACAAGTACAGAGATATAGATCAGTGGATCAGAACAGAGAACCCAGAAGCTGACCCACTTCATTACGGTAAATTAATATTTGACAAAGGAGGCAAGAACATACAATGGAGTAAAGACAAACTCTTCAATAAATGGTGTTGGGAAAATTGGACAAGTGCGTGCAGAAAAATGAAATGATTCCACCATACACAAAAGTAAATTTAAAATGGATAATTTTCTCCAGGCCCATCCATACTGTCCCAAAGGGTACAATATTCTTCTTTACAGCTGCGTAGTATTCCATGGTGCATATGCCCCACAGCTTTTTTATCCACTCATCTACTGATGGGCACTTGGGCTGTTTCCAGATCTTAGCTATTGTAAACTGTGCTGCTATGAACATCAGGGTGCATAAGTTCTTTGTGATTGGTGCTTGGGGTTTCTTAGGCTATATTCCTAGAAGTGGGATCACTGGGTCAAATGGCAGGTCAATTTTTAATCTTTTGAGGAAACTCCATACTGCTTTCCATAGTGGCTGCACCAGTTTGCATTCCCACCAGCAGTGTACTAGGGTTCCCCTTTCTCCGCACCCTCACCAGCACTTGTAGTTTGGTGACTTGTTGATGGCAGCCGTTTTGACAGGTGTGAAGTGATACCTCATTGTGGTTTTAATTTGCATCTCTCTGATGATTAGCGACGTTGAGCATTTTTTTCATATGTCTCTTGGCCATCTGTATGTCCTCTTTGGAGAAGTGTCTATTTGGATTGTTTGCCCATTTTTAAATTGAATTGTTTGTCTTCTTTTTGTTAAGTTATATAAGTTCCTTATATATTTTGGATATTAACCTTTTATCTGATGTGTCATTGGTAAATATGTTCTCACATACAGTGGGCTCCCTTTTCGTTTTGTTGATGGTTTCTTTTGCTGTGCAGAAGCTTTTTATTTCGATGCAGTCCCATTTGTTTATTTTCTCCCTAGTTTCCCTTGCCCTAGGAGATGTATCAGCAAACATATTGCTGTGAGAGATGTCTGAGATATTACTGCCTATGTTTTCCTCTAGGAATTTTATGGTTTCATGTCTTACATTTAAGTCTTTTATCCATTTTGAATTTACTTTTGTGTATGCTATAAGTTGATGGTGTAGTTTCATTTTTTTGCCTGTATCTGTCCAATTTTTCCAACACCATTTATTGAAAAGACTGTCTTTACTCCATTGTATGTTCTTGCCTCCTTTTAAAATATTAATTGACCATGATGGCATGGGTCAATTTCTGGGTTCTCTTTTCTATTCCACTGATCTGTATGTCTGTTCTTGTGCCAATATCAGGCTGTTTTGATTATAGTGGCTTTGTAGTATAACTTGATATTGAGTATTGTGATCCCTCCAACTTTGTTCTTCTTTCTCAGGATTTCCATGGCTATTCGGGACTTTTTTTTTCTTTTTAAATTTTAAAGTTCTCAAAGTAGATTTTATTTATACATTTCTTCAAATGATTGTGGAATTTTAGAAAATCCCTCCCAAATTTGACAATTTATGGACAGTGGTAGGAACCAGGGTTCTTTGAAGAAAGAAAATACAAATAAATTGGTCTTTCTAAAACAAAAATATGATTTGTAAGAGAAACAACACTGTACAATATACTGGTAAGTTTTAAGATTTCTGAGACCGTAAGGAATGGGGCCAAAATAAGTCACGCTCAAAAAGAAATGGTTGACACAAGAAATGTGCTACAATTAAAATGCATGAAAGGAAGCCTGCTCAGCTAAATGAAGTAGACAAACATCAGAAGTCAAAGGTCATTCGCCAGAGTGGCAGCAGGCTCGAAAACTGCACTGCAAATTCTGGCATTCGCTGCCACTATCAGCAATGATGACAGTTAATGTTGTCACAGTAGTAAAAGTATTCATCGTTTAGAGAAGGACATGTTGAAACCAAATCCTTCAGGACAGCACTAGTTACCATAAGACAACCAGAGAGATTAAGGTCCTCCAATTAAGGCAGGCCTCCTCCCAGAGTCAAAACCCTGAGACCATGATCTGTGATCTGGTAGCACCCGGACAGACTGAGAAACAGAAGTGCACGTTCATTCTCTCCATCAGCTTTTTCCCTCCCAGGGTGTAAGTCTTGTTCCCTAAGCAATCTAGTCTGTAATGNCAATCTAGTCCGTAATGCTTTTCCACACAATGCAGAAGACTCTGGGAGAGCTGACATAGTTCTTAGAGCTGTTCCTGTACAACAAAATGAATGACCACAATATGCAAAGCCTGGAGAAGCACAATGCTACTGCCGACAGACACTAGTCCTTAGTCCAACAATGTCCTTACTGTAACAGCCAAAGGAGGAACTACTCAAGTTAGATGCTGTTTCCATTACACAAAGACTATCCACATTTCTATGTCTCCATTCTACAGCATCTTCAATATCGGCCAGATCTTCAGCATCTAACATCCACACATAAGGAGAAGTGAAATTCTCAGAAGAAACAGGTTTAATCCAGAGGTGTTCATTATCTATTTCTTCTCCAATGGCCTTGTTAGTTAAATCTGGCAAACAAGCATATTGATTGGTGGACTGCATGGTAATGTCTTTATTTTTCCATGTAGTCGAAGTAATTTTGCCTGTAGTTTTCAAAAGGCCACTCTGGTGAGATGTCATATACCATTTGGCAAGTTTAAATATAAGCATCAACTCTAGGCTCAAAGTTAGTGTGAATAAAGTAGCAAAACCAAATATATATATAATAAAAACCATTTTGCATCTGTTAAAAATTACTGTTTGTTTTCTATTTAAAAATGCTGTTCAAGAGATTTCACCCTAGTAGATACTCCAACTTTTTTGAAGTTACATTCTGAGACACTCTCAGGCTGACACAGTTTGTAATTGAAATTATTCCAACAACTGTGAGGTAGTTGTTTGTTGAACCTCAGTTGGAGAGGAAAGCAATTGTTCTCAAATTTCCAAAAAAGTTCATTTTTAATGTGGAAAAGTTTCTTTTTCTATGAAGAATGTGATTAGTTGCTGCTGATAAAAATGAGCTGGTCCTCTTCTTGTTTGCTCTTGGCATAGAGAGGGGCACTTGCTTTTAGTCTTGCTTTGTTGTCTATTGTGCAGAAGGACACAAGTTCTGGGAGCAAGGGAAGGTGAAAGATGAAGTCCACACTTCCTTGTGATTGGCAGGAAACAGTCAAAGAAGGGTGCTCATGTATTTGTCACCCTCAGATGCAGAGAGGGAAGAGGGCTGGCCATGAAGCGTGGGAATAACATTAGAGGCCTGGAACAACTTACACCCCTCAGTCAAGGCCTAGGGCTTTGTAAATAGGATGCATTAAAAATGACTACCCAAAGTTCTATATGTGATTGCAACTTTTTATTTCTAGAATTTTTCATTTTATTATTTAAAAATTTTTAAATTTTTTTCAATTACAGTCTGCATTCAACATTACTTTGTATTTGTCTCAGGTGCACAACACAGTGGCCAGACAACCATATACTTCACAAAGTGCTCTACCTGACACCCAACTGGCATCATACATAGCTATTACAATATTATTGACCATACTAAAAATTTTTTAAACAAAATATTTTATCAAAATTTGTTTTTAAAGTAACATTTTTCCCTTAAAACTTGCCATGTTGATTTTATTTTTTCAAAATCATGTTTAATAATAATGTGTATGTGTATATTTAGTTATTTTAATGAAGAGCATGAGCTTTGTAAAATGTCATCTAATGTGTTGCCTGTTCATGGCAAAAACATATTTTTTTAAACCAACAGTTGTTTACAAGTACCACCTGCATCCCATGAAAAACATTAATTTGTCTGTCTAACTTCCTTCAACAAAACTCAATTCCACCAAAATATGAATCCAATCATCCTTTTTCCTTGACAGACATGTTTTTCTGTTTTTTCCTACTCCAACCATTCCAGAAGCAAAAATCCTTTTTTAAACTTGTCTTAAAACCATTAGGCACTAACACTTGTTAATGACTAAGACCAGTTTAAAAATAGAACTAAACAATTGCAGCTTATGAGCAGTACCTGTGACGTGAATGAACCAACCGAGAAAACTTTCTGAAGTCAAAATTTCTTATTTTATTACCAAGGATATTTGCCTGCCCAAAGACATATCTCTAAAAGCATCAAGATAATACAGCTCTACTTCAGACATATAATGGTTCTTCAATATGAAACCTACTGGACCATGTTTGATTTATTCTGGAGTCGTTTCCTTTGAGTTTTCTTTGAGATTTTGTCTCTCTGCCTTGCAGCCAGTGCACTATGAAGAGAAGAACTGGTGTGAGGATCAGTACTCAGGAGGCTGCTACACAACCTACTTTCCCCCAGGGATCATGACTCAATATGGGAGGTAGAGTAAAAACTTGCTAATTTTAATCCAATTTCTAAACAGGTTCATGTAGCTCTTCTGTTTCTTATGAATGTTTAAAAATATCCACAATTTTGTTTGATTAAAACAGGGTGTGAGTAAATGTAAATGACTGATCAATCTGTCCATGAAAAGCAGTCAAAGAAATATTAAAACCTATACCTGTCAGAAGATACATAATGACTTTGGTTTGCACTTTCCTCATCTTCCTGAAGATGGCAAATATCATCTATGAGAACATTCTGGGGCCCAAGGGCCTAATTAGCTACTGAATCAATAAGTTAATCTTGGGATATGGTGAATGTAGAATATGTCAACAGCGATGGTTTCATTCAGCATTTATTAGCTCAGTAACAACCATTTGCCAAGCCTTGTGCTGAAAACTTTGATATCAAGAAAAGCCCCCTCTGCTGTTGGGGTCTGGGGTGGGAATGGGGAGAGAAGAGAAAAGAACACCAAACATTGCTCTAATGTTATGGGAATGACTCTAATTATATGGTAAGTACTCAAATAGAGGGACATACAAATGCCATGGGTACCCAGGGAAGGATAGGCCAGCCTTACCTAGAGAAATCACAAAAGGCTTCATAATACCCATATCATTTGAGGATTGTAGAAGACAGAGAAAAGGCTATTGGGAAATGTACTCTAGATGGATGGAACTGTATGAGCAAATGCTTGAAATTCTGCAAGTTCATGGAATGTCTGGGGGGAAATTCTGCATGGCTGGGCTCTAGGTGACCTTGAGGATGAACTGGAGAATCAGAAATGTAGATAAGATCTTTTACCTCATATAACACATTCGGGAATGCAAAACTTAGTTTTTCAACAAAGAAAAGCCAATCAGAGTATGACTTTTGTTTTTGGTTTGTGATGTGGTTAGATTTCTGACCTGCGGCAAGTTTCATGCTCAATCCCATAAGGTGTGTGGGGCAATGGAGTATGGGGAGAAAAAGGACAATTACCTGCACTGGTCTGACCTCAACCACATGAGAGAATTAAGATAAACTCTGTCTTTTTAGGCATCAGTGGTGACATGGGAATACCACTTTTCGTCTTTATTCCTTCCCAGGAGCACGTATCAGGCTTCATATCATTAGCTTTAATTCCCAGTATAGAAACTAAGGCACAGCATATCTTAGTGACATAACTCCCAGCCTAAGCAAGGACTACCTGCTCACAGGGCTTCCCTTGATCCTTCAAGTTCATGACTTTTGGGATGCTGCAACAAGTTTTATTTTCGTGGCCTTGGAAGTACACGAAAATGTTCTGCTTTCAGAAGAAAGACGTAGTACACATTTAGTACAGAATAAACACATATTTCTTCAAGAATTTTACTTCTGCACAGACTGAAAAAGTGATTGCAGTGATTAAACAGAAAAACAAATGAGGAAATTTTTTACTCCAGCAAGCCATGAGAAATATACATGGAAATATCCCTTTTGTGAATGTACACTGTCTGTTCACTCACCTGCAAAAGAAGGGGCAGGGGTTTTCCTTCTCTAGGTGTTGGTTTAAAAAAAAAAAAAAGTATCTTTATTGTTGAAGGTAATACAGATGTCCCCTTTTTTCCCCCTTGACCCCTCTACCCTGCCCCCCCAGGCCTTCACCACACTATTGTCTGTGTCCATGGGTCATGCATATATACATGTAAGTTCTTTGGTTAATCTCTTCCAACCCACCCACCCTCGCCTTCCCTCTGAGATTTGTCAGTCTGTTCCATGCTTCTATGTCTCTGGATCTATTTTGTTCATCAGTTTATTTTGTTCCTTAGATTCCACATATGAGGAGGATCATGTGATACTTGTCTTTCTCTGACTACCTTATTTTGCTTAGCATAATACTCTCCAGGTCCCTCCTTCCATGCTGTCTCAAAGGGTAAGAGGTCCTTCTTTTTTATAGCTGCATAGTATTCCTTGGTGTAAATGTACCACAGCTGTTTTATCCACTCATCTACTGATGGGCACTTGGGTTGTTTCCAGATCTTAGCTACTGTAAATTGCGCTGCTATGAACATAGGGGTGCATATATTCTTTCTGATTGGTGTTTTGGGTCCCATAGGATATATTCCTAGAAGTGAAATCACTGGGTCAAATGTCAGTTCGATATTTAATTTTTTGAGGGAACTCCATACTGTTTTTCATAGTGACTGAACCAGTCTGCATTCACACCAGCAGTTTACTAGAATTCCCTTTTCTCCACATAACTTGTAGAAACTTGTTTTGTACCCTATCATGTGGTCTATCTTTGAGAATGATCCATGTGTACTTGAGAAGAATGTATATTCTGCAGCTTTGAGGTGAAATGCTCTATAAATACCAGTTAAATCCATCTGATCTAGTGTGTCATTTAGAGTCAGTGTTTCCTTGTTGATTTTTTATCTGGAAGACCTACCCAGTGAAGTCAGTGGGGTTTTAAAGTCCCCTACTATGATTATATTGCTGTTGATCTCTCCCTTAAGTCCTCCAGAAGTTGTGTTTTTATATATATATATTTAGGTGCTCCTATATTGGGTGCATATATGTTACACCCTCTTATTGGATTGATACCTTTAGTATTATGTAGTGACTTTTCTTGTCTCTCATTATGGACTTCATTTTGAAGTCTATTTTTCAAATATGAATATTGCTAGCTTAACTTTTCTTTCATTTCCATTTGCATAGAAATTTTTTTTTCCATTCCTTCACTCTCATCCTGTGTCTTTTGTTCTGAGGTGGGCCTCTTGTACACAGCATATATTTGAGTCATGTTTTCTTATTCATTCAGCTACCCTATGACTTTTGATTGGAGTATTTATTCCATTTACATTTAAGGTTATTATTGATAGGTACTTATTTATTGCTGTTTTAATTCTTTATGCCTATATTTGTCTCTCTCTCTATTTCTACTACTTATTACAGCAGTCCCTTTAACTTTCTTGTAATCTTGTAATGCTGTTTTGGTGGTGATAAACTTCTTCTTTAGCCCTTTTTTTTTTTTTTTTTTTTTTTTTTGGGAAACTCTTTATTTCACCATCTATGTTGAATGATAGCCTTGCTGGATAGCGTATTCTTGGTTTCAGAGCCTTCCTTTTCATTACCTTGAATACTTCATGCAATTCCGTTCTGGCCTGTAGACTTTCTGATGAGAAATCAGCTGACAGCCTTATGGGAGCTCCTTTGTAGGTAAATAATTGCTTTTCTTTTGCTGCCTTTAAGATTCTTGGTCTTGAATTTTTGTCATTTTAATTATTATGTGTCTAAGCATGGACCTTTTTGTATTCATCTTGCTTGGGACTCTCTGCGCTTGCTGAACTTGTGTGACTTTTTCCTTGACTAGGTTAGGGAAATTGTCTGCCATTATTTCTTCAAACAGGGTCTCTATCCCTTGTTCACTTTCTTCACCTTCTGGTACTCCTATGATGGGAATATTATCATGGTTCATGTTGTCCCACAGCTTCCTTAAGCTGTCCCCTTGTTTTTTAATAATTTGTTTTTGGTTCTCTGATGGAGTGCTTTTTTCTACTCTGTCTTCTAACTCACTGATCTGATCCTCAGTTTCCTCTAATCTGCTGTTTATTCTTTCCAATGTATTTTTTATTTCTGCTATGTCGTTCTTTGTTTCCTTCATAGTTTCCATAACTTTTCTCATGCTGTTGAGCATCCTTACAATCTGAGTTCTATATCTGATAGATTGAATCTCAGCACTTCATTTAGCTCTTCTTCTGGAGAATTTTTTCGTTCTTTCATTTGCGGCTTGATTTTCTGTCTCCCCATTTTGTCTGCCTGTTTTGGTTTGTTTCTATGCATTAGGTAGATCTGCTAGGACTTCCAGACTTTTTAGATGGTCTCTGGTGTGGGTCAATGTCAGATGCTGTTTATGACTGATCTGGAGTACCCTGTTTGAAGCTTTCAGGGATCCACAGGTTGTGGTTCCCTCTGCTGAGGCTGGGTACATTTGGAAGGGACCCAGCTGTGCACCAAGGCCCACTTTTTTTAGCCCTGGGTCCAGAAGCAGATCAGGCAAAGACTCAAAGCATCCAGAGATCCACCTTTGGGTGAAGGTAGTCTCTATGTGGTCTCTACTTTTCGTCCTTGGTTATGAGGGTTGTCTCCAGCTAGTCTTCAGTTGATTATACAGGATGGTTTTTCTATATTTTAGTTGTAATTCCAGTTTGGTCCTGGTAGAGCATTAATTGGCTTCCAATTAATCTGCCACCATCTTGGAACCTAGTACTGGATTTTTTTAACCTAAAGGGAAGAAGGTTTCCACACCACAACTGCAGAAAAAATATCTCTTTGGTGTTTTGAAATCAATTTTTATTTTTTACATATTTGCATTCCTACTGTTTGCACAATTAATTCTCTAAGCCTTTATTCTCTCTTCTAATATTTAATTCTATGATATGACCTGGCCTCCCAGAGGTTTCCAATTTTGAATTAGTTCCCTGTGTTTGAAAACAGTGAACATGTAGTGAAAGCAGCATTGTTTAAATCAGGGGTGAGGAACATCATTTAGTCTGACCCGGCAAAGGCAACTGCAGGTGGGACTCAAAATTCAATAAATCTAGGAGCTTTTTATATAGCTAATTTTTAAGTTAATTATTTTGTATGGCCTACGAATGATGTTATAAATATTCAAATGGCCCTTGGCAGAAAAAGATTCTACACCTCTGGTTTAAATGAAGGGAGAAAATTACCTTCTCTTGCAGGGAACCCTTCCTGAATACCCTTAAGTACTTCAGTCCATGCTGGCTATATATCACTCCAGATTATTCTATGTATTGTCATCAGTATTTTAATATTCTATAATATCTTCTATTTCTACTCCCTTTTTTCTTTATGGCTGTAATAAGGGCCAAGGAAGGAAAACCCAATTCAAGACAGCCCATTTGGTTTTCTGATAAAAAGGCCTGGTAGTATATGGTGTGTTACAGTGTGCACAATGTATGAGTGTATGTTTGTTGGCTCTGGACATCTACATCCCTTACTTCATGTAATGGAAACCTGTGATAGGATCAATAATGACATGTTGATGGTGTTTTTCTTATGGTATTTTTGTCAGAGTAACAACAAACTGTCCCTCTTAGAAGCCAAGTGCTGTGACACTTCTATCCCTTTGTGTAGCACATGGGCACTCTTTGTTAACCAGTGATGATATCACACTAGGCTAAATATAGGGGACAAAAACAGAGACCTTGATATCTGGTAGGCCTATTTCAAATCCTAGCTCTGCTACTTGCTAACAGTGTGGCTCTTGGCAAGTTGCTACACATTTCTCCAATATTCAGTTTACTCATGTGTAAAATAAGATAATGATAATAATAGTTATGTCATAGAGTTGATTGGAATGATTAAAGAAATAATTCAATAGAAAGAAGGAGTATAACCAAGTGGTTAAGACTGTGTACTCTAGAATCAAATACCACCTCTGTTACTTACTAGCTGTGACCTAGATCAAATTACTTTGTCTTTGTTGCTGGTTAGGTTATTCAGGAAGCAGACTATGAAACAAAGATTAGCATACAGGATATGTGCTAGGGACAGCCTTTGGTATCAGAACCTGAGAGAGAGGAAGGAAATAGGGGTTGGCAGAGGGAGAAGTTGGGCTGTAATACAGTTCCAATGAAGGCCTCAGCTGTCTCCACAGGGAGCTCTGGAGCTAGGGATAGCCCTTAAGAGTTGTTTCAAGAGTCTTTCTAGCCCCATGATGATCAGTTATTGAGTGCAACTGCTGTTGGGTGGAGGCATGACCTTGAATGAGGCAATTTTCTTCAGCTGAAGCAATCTCCAAAGAGGACTTCAATCAGAATGGCATCTTCTGGCAATACTTCCAGCTGTAAAAATAAGCCCTTCATTCCTGATAGGGGGTATGGGCAGTACATCACAATGTCCACTACATTCTCTTTGCCTCTATATTCTCATCTGCAAAATGAGGATAATAATAGTACCAACCTCATCGGGTTGTGATGAAGATTAATGCACTTAGAAGAGTGCTGGGTATCCAACAAATGTTAACCTTTGTAATTTAAAGCAATAAAACTCAACACTGGTAGAGGTAAGTGCTCATGAATGGTTGTTTTGGACTCACATATTTGTTACATGTTACTGATGGAAAAGGTCTTAGAAATCATTGGAGTGTGTCCTTGAAGAGATGGGGAAGTCAGAGCTCAGTGAGAGAAAGTGATTTCCCAAGTTCATTAGCAAAATAGCCAGGTAGGAAACTGGGTCATGTGTCAGCTAATAAAGAGTTAGTGAGCCATAGAAAGAGCTATGTATGGCTTCATGTAAGTGAAGCAAATACATGCTCTATTGATATCAATCCCTTTACTTGTATGCTCTTGGTGCAAGAGCGACACTTGACTGTGACAAGAATCATGCAAAAGCTAGAGGAACCTGTGAACATTTTGCCAAAATTCACAATGTACTCCCGATGTTTAGAATCTGAGGAAACCAACCAACCTTGTTCATTGTGGGAAGGTTCTCTGGTTCTCTGATACTGACCACTTTTACCTCTTTGTTTTAATTTCAAGGGTTCTACGCCAGCCGGTTGGCAGGATTTATTTCGCAGGCACGGAGACTGCTACACACTGGAGTGGCTACATGGAGGGGGCTGTGGAGGCTGGGGAGAGAGCAGCCCGAGAGGTAGGGCCTGAGGTCATGGGCTGTGGGGAGGAAGGCAACTTCATCGGCCTGAAAGCAGATGAAAGTTGTCTGAGATCCTGGAGGCCAACTTGCTAATAAATTCCATCTGAGGACACATGAAACACACTTTGAACAGCAGTCTCAGTTGAAGTGAACACTTTAACCTAAAAGTAACAATGAAAATATCTATAATGTCACCCAAGATAAAAAGAGTCCATAGGACAAAGATCACTATGATTCTCTTTGAGAAATAACCTAGGTATAATATTATAGAAACCAAGATGTTTCTATTAAGACTTAGAATTCATTAATATATTTCTTGACAATTCCTGTGATCTCATCCCTATTAAGTCATGTTCACAAATACAATTTGTGGTAAGCCTAATGATTGGAGCCTCTTATGCCATCAGTGAAAGACTTTTTGGAGCTTTTTAAAGGTTCAGTGGACTATGTTGGCTGTTACCCTGGTGCTTCTGGTGGATATCTTGAGGTTCAGTCCTTTATTTAAAGAGCAGATTAGGAGAAAGATGGTGTTATTTTTGTCATTCATCAGGATATTCTTTCTGTTCAGATCCTGCATGCTATGAGGAAGATTCCAGAGGATGAAATCTGGCAGTCTGAACCAGAGTCTGTGGTAAGTTATATTTTATTTCATGAATTGAAATCTCTGTCTTCTAAAAACAAGTATTTGCATGAAGAATACACTTGTATATATTCACATACTTTTCCCTAAGTGTTTCAACCAGTGAATGTTTAATGACATGGACTAGGGCAAAGGTAAGAGATTTAGAACTTGGATAAATTTGTAGCTGCCACGTTCATTACAGATTATTAAGAAAAATATTTTTTTGGTTTGAGAGTTCTAGACATATTAAGAACTGAACATATACCTATTGAATAAATCTCTAACTTGGAGATTCTCAACAGGGATTAGGAAATGAAAGGAAGATATGACAGCATTCCCTGTCCAGGGGCAAAGGGATGGAATGGAATGGAGAAGATTTAGATTAAAAATGCTTTTCAAATATATGCACTATTATTTTTGGAATAATACCCCAGGAAGTCTTCCTGATTGGAAGGAAAGACACATATAAGAAAGAGTGAAATGTGTTGTAGAGGACAAGGGTCAAAAGGGTCAAATTTATTCCTCTATTAAGTATAAAATCAAAAAGAATAGCCCTGCCAGTCCAAATTATTCTCTTAGTGACTGTCACAGATGGGATTGAGGGCCAAGTGGACCATAGATTTATTCAATTCAACAAATATTTATTGTTTACCTACTCTGCACCAGCTGTTGTGATAAGGCTACAGCAGTGCTTTCACAGAGTTCAAAATGTGGTTGAGAGAACAGATGATAACCAGAAAGTACAAGCATGATGAAGAAGACATGCTGAGAATATTAAAAGAGGCATCATCTTAGCCTGTGGGCACAAGAGGGGCCTCTGAGGATGTGAGATATAAACTGAGACTTAAAGGATGTATCAGAATTAGTTAAGGAAAGGCCCAGTGGGGAATGGAGATGAGTGTTATTACCAGAGGGAATGTTATGTTTAATGGTCTAGAGCAGGGGTGGGGAACCTGCCAAGGCCTCACCAATGAGAAGTAGTTCCAGCCATCACATTAGGGGTGAGTTAATTAAATGTTTGACCAACTATAGCAGGCTAATTTTTAAGTTGATAATTTTGTATGGCCTGTGAATGATGTTGTAAATATCCAAGTGGCCCTTGGCAGAAAAAAGGTCCTCCACCGCTGGTCTAGAGGTTGTTAAGAGTGGGTCATGTTCAGAGAACTGGAGGAAATGCAGACTTTCTGGAGTGATGTCCACAAACCTTGTACTGATACCAATGTTCTCTGAACCCAGGATGTTCCTGTGCAGCCTATTACCACGACTTTCTTAGAGAGAAATTTGCCCTCCGTGCCAGGTCTGCTGAGGCTGATTGGATTTACTACCATCTTTTCAGCAACTGCTCTTGGTTTCCTGGCCCACAAAAGGGGCTTACTTTTGCGGCTCTAAAGAGAAGGCATCTTTAACCATACCTTCTTCTTACTTTATTCGGTATGTGGGTTTAGGGAAGGAGTTGTAATAAAGTTTCATGAAGACATACAGAGTCTAGTGTGAGGTGGGGAGCAAGATAAGTCAGACTACTGACCATAGGAAACAGTATCTTTCTCCATTTGGTCCCTGTTTATTGTCTCCTGTTTGGCCTAGCACTCTGTCTTGCCCATTTCCAAATGTATTGCCCACAGAAACTTCACAGTAGTTAAGCAGTCCTGTTTAAGGTCCTTGCTGTCCCACAACACACCTTGCCCATGCACAAAAAACTAGCTTTTCCCCACCTCTGTGGCTTTGTGCTTCTCTTTCTTCTTACCTGTAACATCCCTATCTTTCAAGTTCTCAGCATTTGTTCTTAGAGTCCTGTATTGTTATAGCTGGTAGACCTTAGAGACCATCTAGTCCTCATCTTCTGTTTTAGAATTGAACCAACTAAAGCTGAGAGAGGTGGAACATAATTGTCCAAGGTCTGAAGCAAGACCTTGATATTTTGGAGAATAGAACACAAGATCATTGCTTTTTCCACCTCCTGGGATGTACGCTCTAATAACTCTCCTCTACTCTCTGTTATAGTTGCTGATGGTGCCCCCTTGTATGGGTTTACTTTGTACTAAGTTGTTATGCACTACTACTACACTACTCCTACTATTGTTATACAATAAAGTTGATTCACCAGATATCTGCTGTTTTTTTCTTTTCAGATAATGACTTTTAAGGTTTTGACAGTTTAAATCACAATACAATATTAGGCATATAGCTGTGGCTTTAAAGTAGTTAGTCCAAATTTTCTTGAAGCACAGATGATGCATGCATTTTGATTGTGTGATCTATCATGGGTACTGTATGTGTGAGCACTTGGTAAATGATTTATAATGATATGATATAGATGCTAAAAACAGAGCTCCTTGCTTTCAACCCACAAATAACTGTCAAAATAATTAACATATTAATAAGCAAGATGCTTTAACTATTAAGATAATTATAATATTTCATTTGACCTTTCATATTATTTATCAGTGCAAAGCTTTTACTAAGTACACTTATTAATTTAAAACTACAGTTTCATGGTCCAGTAAATTCTATTTTAACTACTCTTTAAATGATATCATTTCAAAGGACTCATACCTCTTGATTCCCAAAGTCAGCTTGCATCAGGATATATTTTAAATCCATGAATGACCATTCTTTCACTCTTCCTTAGAAAATGAAGCTTATTAATCTTAGCATAAATGGAATTTAAGAAATGCCCTAGAATTAATCAACTATAGTATAGAGTTTCTGATTTTACAGTGACATTTACATTCATGAATTTATAGGAAATTTAGAGACAATGGGGCAATTAAAGAACCCACTAAGACTTTCTTTGTAAATTTTGTGTTTGAATCTGTCTAAAAATGTAATATACTTGACATAAGGGTCTCTTCTTGAGCATGCTATCTTCCAAAATAATTTCCCCTCAAAGTAGTCACATTACTAATTCTAACACATTCATAAAATCAAAACCACAATGAGATATCATCTCAAGCCTGATAGAATGGTTCCTCTCCAAAAGATGAAAGAAAACAAATGTTGAGGATATGGAGAAAAGGGAACCCTTGTGCACTGTTGATAAGATTGTAATTGCTGTAGTCACTATGAGAAACAGTATGGAGGTACTTCAAAAAAATTAAAAATAGAACTACCATATGATTCAGCAATTCTACTTCTGAAAACATATCCAAAAGAAATAAAACCACCACATTGAAGAGATATCTGCACCCTCATGTTCATAGCAGCATTATTTATAATAACCAAGACATGGGAACAGTGTAAGTGTCCATCAAGGGATCAATGGATAAAAGAGTTGTGATACACACATGCGCACGCGCGCACACACACACACACACACACACACACACATTGGAATATTGTTCAACCATAAAAAGGAGGAAATCTTGCCATTTCTGACAGCATGGACTGACCTTGTGGGCATTATATGTTAAGCAAAATAAGTCAGACACGGAAAGATAAATACTTCATGGACTCACTTATATGTGGAATCTAAAAAGAACTCTCAGATGCCCACTTAATAGTCAAATTATATAGAAGATTAAGAGATGATTACATGAAATTGAAGATGTTGGTTTCCACCTGGAGCAAAGGAGAAAGCTATGACCCTAACAGAAACACAAGACACTTCTGGAATGCTGACAATATTCCATTTCCTGAACTAGGTGGTAAATATCAGTATCACTTTATAATTACAATATTGTACATCTGTTTTATATACTTTTCTGTATGTAACTTATATTTCATAATTTTAAAAGGAAGAGAATAAAAAATTACCAACCTTCCCCCCCCAAGAATAAAAAATTACCAACCCTCCCCCCACCCCCAAAAAAAAGCTTTTAGAAAAAAATATCATATTTGTGGTTACCAGAGGTGGGGGGGATTGGATGAAGATGGTCAAAAGGTACAAACTCCCAGTTATAAGATAACTAAGTAATAGGAATATAATGTACAACATGATAACTATAGTTACTGCTGTAGGATATATATGAACATTGTTAAGAGAAAATTATATATATTTTTTTCTCCTTTTTTTGTATCTATATGACACTAAGGATGTTAACTAAACTTATTGTGGTGATCATTTCACAATATATGTAAGTCAAATCATTAAGCTGTATAGCTTATACTTATACAGTGCTGTATGCCAAATATATCTCAATAAGACTGGAGGAAAAGATTTATTGAATGAAAAAAAAATAGAAGAGTCAAATAAGGAATTACCTTCACCAGGAATCTCCTGGACCATTCATCCTCCAGTCAGGTGATGTGGCCCCCTGTTCTCCTTATGCTACATGCACAGACATCATGTCCTACACTTACACATTATATTGCAATTATGCCTTCTTGTATCTGATTTGACTGAAGTTCCAAGTAACATGAGATATCAGTTACCCAGGTAATCACAAGATAGAAAAAAATAGGAAACATTGAATGTAAAAACCTCAAAACCAGTTTCTTTTCTGTCTAAACTCATCACCAGTTTTGAGGGTATAAAAAGAGTAGGTTTTTGAAGGGGTAGATTTGTGAAGAGCTCTCTTTAGAGAGAGCTGCCATGCTTTTAGTCCAACTCACCTCAAAGAAGAGGGGCACGGTGCTACTTCTCATCTCAAGTCTAGTGGAAGGGGTTGCAAGGACACCCCTTTGAGAAGTGACACACCCCTGAGGAATCTAAAGCTCTGGATCCTGCTCAAGGTTCTTTTGAGTAGAGTGAAGGAATGCCACAGAGACATCAGGAACAAAGAAACTGAATGGAGATAAAAACTGACTAACCAAAAGGGAGGTACTGCATGTCAAAGTCATAAAAAGCTAGCACAATAGTCTGTATAAAAACACAAGTGTCCCCATAAGGAAAAGTCAATTCTCATAACAACCAGGTGCAGAGCATATAAAACTATTTTACAGGAAGACACTAGTCAAATAGGAATGTTCAGTAAGCACCTTTCCCTTCTCCGTTGGCATCCCCAACCCAGAATCAAGAATCAACAGTTGGCAACCTAAACAAGGAGTAGAGAAGGAGAAGAAAAGTTAATCACAGGCTTCTGCAGGATGGCATGACAGCCCTTGAAGCTGGTCCTAACTAGAAAAGGGGAGAAAATCAAACTCTAAATCAAGTTCAGAGGCTTGATTGTTCCACAATATTAGACATTTAAATTATTGAATTGAAACCTTGATTTGCCACTTAAAGAAACCTTAGAATTTCCTACATCCAATGACTGGGCAATGAGCAGGTACAAAGAACTATTCCAGCTCCAGGGTGTTCATGGGATCAACTGATACCTCTTTGCAATTGCATCAGAGTTCAACTTCACTCTCTGCCCAATTTTGTTTCCCTCACTCCCTCACAGATATTGACCACAAGAGGACTCTCAAATAAATTTCCTGCATGCAAATCTCCAACTCAGAGTTGACTTCCTGGGCAATTCATCCTGTGACATACTTTGCAATACAAACAGCCGACTATTATGCAGTAAAAGTGAAAGCAAAAGACTAGTTAGGAGGCCAAGGAAGTTGCCAAAGACAGAGACACTGGTGACTTGGTCTAGTGTAATAGACTAGAGGTACCTATTCAATAACTGTGGGCATCCAAGTGAGGATGTTGGGTAGACTGTTGACCATATCTATTAGAGTTTAAGGGAAAGTTTAGGGCTGGTATTATAATTTGGGGAGCCATGGGATTGAATATAGATAGAGAAATATCTGAGGATAAACATTGAGAAATCCAAACTTTATATGTAGAATGTTTAATATATATCTGTTCAATTATAAACAGTTGTGATTCTTAAAAGAAACATATCTAAGAACCATCACAATTTTTGTGCTCAGAAAGACTACTGTGATTTCACTGTGATCGTCCATTATAACTACAGTATTACAGCTTTTCAATGATTATAACAACCTGATGTTAAAAATTAGTAATTAATTTTAAAAAACTCCTTAAAAAATTTCTGTTATATATTTCTGGTGTTCAGATACCTGGTTAAACAATCTGTTGCTGTATTTATGTATTTTCTTATTGTCCACTACTACCCAAAGGATTTGAGGCAACATTCAGCAGTGCAAGTAAATATAAAGTTAATAAAAAAAAAGAAAATCAAGACTTGTGTGAAAACAGAAATGGAGAGTGAGCAATAAGTGGATGAGGAGAAGGTAGATAAGCAACTGCACATAGGGAAGGCCAACTGCTATCTAGGTGGGGAATCTGAGAGACTCCAGCAAGGACACATTGACCAAAGCCTGAAATGTTTCTATTTTATGTTGTCACAATGTCTAAAATATTATATCAGAAAGCTTCTTGGATTGGGGTCTCTCAAAATGCACATTTGACCCACCCAGTGAATATCTGGCATGTCTCACCTAGTGTGAATAAGCCTTATTAAAATGTGATCAACCCAGATATAAAATCTACTCTGAAGATGAACTTCTGGGTAACATCATCACAAGGTAACTGTAGGATGTTGGGAGACGCAGTGATTCTTCCTTTCCCATCACATTCTAGGCTTCTCTTTCTGACCTGATTTCTCAATGTCAACTTTTCCTCCTATCTGTCTTTGACTTTTTCCTGGTGTACAACCTCCTCCTTTTCCAAGATACTGTTGATGGAGGAAAAGGGGCCCCTAATGTGCCCAGTGTTTCCCAGGGGCCAGTAATGGAATGCTAAAAAATGTTTTTATGGCTTGACCTCATAGGTGATGGGGGAAGGGCTGCAATAACTTCTACTCACCTTTTGTCCACTCAGCAGACTGTGGCCTGAGAACCTTCCCTTGGGATTTGTACCTGTAGGCAGTACTAGTTCCTCCGCTTTGGGCATACTCTCTTGTTGTCAGCCTCGAGAATTTGTACATTTTGTCTTCAACTGCTCAGCCCCAGAATTTCCTTCTTCAGGAAACCAAGGAATGGAGAGTCACTTGAGTCCAGTGAGGCTTTCCCCATCACAATCCATATAGGCTCACAGTGCCAATCATACAGTGTGCATGGCTTGGTAGGGTAACCCGAATAGATGAGTGAACCAAACTAGCACAATCCCAGATTGGGTTGGCAGGTGATTCAGTCAAGGTTCCATGGAGAATA